CCTTGTGATGTCAAACTTCTACCCCTAAAAGGTCTGTCAAGAAATAATATATCACTCTCTCGAGAAAAGTGCTCTACCCAATTCTCAAGCAGTTAAAACACGAACAATCACCCTTGGAAAAATACCCAGCAAAAAGATCAACATTACATCAGAATCACGTCAGAACGGGGAGGACGGGTAACTCCGGGGAAACGTGTCTTACGTCCTGACTACTCAGAACAAATTCATTCCTCAGATAAATATTCATGTTTCAACTCAATGGCCAGTTCAAACTACAAGAACATGCCAAACCCTCTCTCCGACATCCAATACCTTGACAAAGAAACCACTCCACCAGCCCCCCTGCTGTAACATCCATTCCATCCTGAACATGAAGTCAAAATCAAATCAATCAATCAATCCAACAGCCCCCCTGCTGCATCATTCATCCCCGAAAAAATCAAAACCAAGACAAACCACCTGCGACTAGGATCATGGAACAATACTTCCCCCCCCATGATTCTCACGCAGAACTATCCCATCCATCGCGAAAGCAGAAATCAACATCGAGCAGCAGATCAAAGGCCAGTACCAGGTCACAAATAAAACACATGGTGCAAGAAAGGCCCCATCGCTGAAATAGTGCAACACCAAGAACAAAATCAACGAATATTCATCACGAAGTCACGATGCGCGCAAAAAGTCTCCTTGGGGAGCGGTTTGGTCAAGAAATCCGCGCGTTGCAGGTCCGACCGTACGTGGACTACCTTGAACTCCCCCCGTGCTACACGCTCACGGATGAAATGGTGGCGGATGTCGATGTGCTTCGAGTTGGGAGTAGTAGCCGGGTTACTTGCCAAGTGAATAGCGCCTACGTTGTCCTCCCACACCGGCGTGCACCCCACATCACGGCCCGGAAAGATAAATTTCCACAGATACCGCAGAAAAATAGCCTCCTTCATCCCATCAGACATCGCCACGTACTCCGCTTCCGTCGAAGACAGGGTGACGCTCTTCTGCGTCCTACACAGATACATCACACACGCACCAGCGAACATCACTAGTGCCCCAGAAACAGACCGCCGGTCGGTTGCCTTGTTGGCGAAGTCCGAATCGACAAAAAGTTCCATGTGGTCTCCTCCCACCGTGCCCCTCTGAAAAGTAATCCCGTACCCGCTCGTGAATCTAACATACATCAAAACATGCAAAGCCGCCTCCCAGTGCAGTCGCTTCGGCGCGTGCGAATACCTCGCAACGGCACGCACCGCGTTGAGAATATCCGGGCGAGTCTGATTCGCCAGCCACATCAAGTGTCCCACTAGCGACCGGAAAGGCTCGTCGACATCGGGCTCGTCGGCGTCGTACTGCTCAAGCTTCAACCCAACGACCATAGGTGTCTCTTTGTCCGTCGTCACACCGAACTTGGCAACGATCTTCTCCGCTACAGCCTGTTGCGAAATAGTCACCGTCCCCAACACCGTGTCACGAGAAAACCGGCAACCCGCATACCAGCGCAGTTCCCCAAGGTTGGAAATGGGCACATACCGGTTGAGGTCAACACCAAACTGATCGCACCTGCTCTTGAGCCCGATAGAGAAGATGTCGTCTACGTGGATCACAACCACCATGGTGACTACACCGCTCTCGATCAGACGCATCACACACGCATCGGCGGCACAAGGCTCGAAACCAAGACTCTTCATGCCACGCATCAAGTGATGATGCCATGTGCGGGACGCCTGCTTCAGACCGTATAGGCTCCGTCTCAACCGCACGACCTTACCGGAAAGCGCACCGCACCCAGGGGGAAGACGAATGAACACAACCTCATCCAGTTCTGATTGGACAAAGGCTTGCTCGGCATCGAAATGGCACAAGTCCCAATCTAACACACAGGCAATGGCGGCTAGCAATCGAATGCTCGTGATGGAAGGACACGGGGAGAAAGTCTCAAAGAAGTCAACACCCTCACGCTGCGCAAACCCACGGGCTACCAACCTAGCCTTAGCACGCACAGCATACCCAAACTCGTCTCCCTTCCATGAATACACCCACTTGGCGGAGATGACGTTCGTCCCTCGTTGCTATTCCGCCCCGACCTCCTCGAAGGTGCCCACTGCATTCAGCCCGAAAAACTCCTTGCGTTCGGCGTTGGTCCAGATGTGGTGGTGGGGCCCCGCGTGCGCCTCCCCGTATGTCTCAGGCGTCTCCAGGTCGCACACCAGCCCCGTCGGCAGGGCTGGCTCAGCGACGCCCGGTGCAGGAAGCTCGGCGATAGACCGCTTGATCTCGTCCTCCGTGGCTAGAAGAGCAAATATCCCCGGCCCCGGCCCATCTCGCTTCGCCCGCGACCTCGTCACTGCGGGGGTCGCTACAAACTCCCGCTGCCCCTGCCGACGACGTCCGCCTGTACCGCCCTCATGCACCATCTCCGTCCACAGTCCGTCCGATGCCATCGCCGCCGAGTGCGCGGGGGCAGGTGTGGCAACAGGTGCCGCAGATGTGCTCACCCGCGAAGGCCCCCCCGCCATCCGCGCAAGTTCCGCCAACACCGCGCTGCGCGCTGCTGCGCTCGCCACCCTGCTCTCCGGCTCCGTGATATGCTCATGCTGCCGCTGCTCCGTCCCCGCCGGAGCTGCCGCCGATGCTGCCGCTCCGGCCGCCACCGCGGGGCCTCCGGCCATTCCCCCCGCCGCCGCCGCGGGGGCAACACTGCCACCGGAGAACGCCGCCGTCGCCGCTGGAGCTGCGGCCGATGCTGCCGCTCCGGCCGCCACCGCGGGGCCTCCGGCCATTCCCCCCGCCGCCGCCGCGGGGGGAACACTGCCACCGGAGGTCGCCGCCGTCGCCGCTGGAGCTGCCGCCGATGCTGCGGCTCCGGCCGCTACCGTGGTGACCCCGGCCATTCCTCCCGCCGCCGCCGCGGGGGGAACGCTGCCACCGGAGGCCGCCGCCGTCGCCGCTGGAGCTGCCGCCGATGCTGCCGCTCCGGCCGCCACCGCGGGGCCTCCGGCCATTCCCCCCGCCGCCGCCGCGGGGGGAACACTGCCACCGGAGGTCGCCGCCGTCGCCGCTGGAGCTGCCGCCAATGCTGCCGCTCCGGCCGCCACCGCGGTGACCCCGGCCATTCCCCCCGCCGCCGCCGCGGGGGGAACACTGCCACCGGAGGTCGCCGCCGTCGCCGCTGGAGTATGTACGCGGTTGGTTTAAACTCTAGCTCCGGGAATCCCTTTCGCGGCACAGACGGGTGTTGATATTGGAAACCAGAGAAAAAAAAAACACCCCGACACATCCTAGCATACAGCTTCTTGTTGTGCATATGCATATTGTGTGCCTGCTCGTTAGTTAGTTGCGTTCGAGGCTTGCATTCGAAAATTATCCCACTGCCAGGGTGCAGATCCAGGGGAGAAAAGTCGCGACGATATGCCCGTATGACCCAATAAGGGTTGAGGTATTCCCCAACCCAAACAAGCCTGACCCAACAACCTCCGATTGACGTGATGGCAGCGTACCGTGGACAACACGAGGAAGGTTGGTGTGCACTGGAAGATGTTGTACAGGGTCAACTACTGTAAAACAATTTTTGTGTGATAATCGTGTTCCGAGATGGGGCCAGCTATGCCACCGTGCCACGCTCTACCGACGAAGTTGGTGTAACAGAGGGTTGACCCTCGGCAAACAAGATTGTTTGCCGTTCGTTCGGCGGCTCCAACCAAGCATCGCAACGATCGCCTTGTTTGAAGTACCGCTTGAGATACGAATTTATTTACCGTCTTACACTTCCCGCGGTGGTGGGCGGTACCCGGACACCGCCGGGTACCGCGATCGTGTAATTTTCGCCTCCGCCAAAGTCCTTACCCGAAAACACGAAATACCGCCTACGCCACGCCACAAGAGTCAACGTGCTGCAATGTATGTGTTCGTCTCATTCAGAAAACAATTCTGACGCCAATGTAGACTGCACATCATTCGGTACATATTTCTGATCAGATTGACGTCCTCATGAGGGAGGGAGGTGACAACCAGGGGACTCGGAATCAGTCCCCCGGTAAGGTATTACACTAGACGAGCCGAGAATATAACCTATATTTTTCTCAACCAGAGGGTAGATCCAATAGCGTTAACTGTCCACCGACCAAGCCAGCTCCAACACGCTGGAGGTAAGGGAACGTCGCACCGACGAACTCAAACGCAAGGCAATTGACGATGGCACGCACCCGAGAAGCAGTAGGGTGGCGCTGTTCCTGACAAGCGCACAAAGCACCCGGGGTTCACCTACAACTAGGTAGTCTCCCTTACATCCTAATTGGAAGGGGATCGAGGTGGTCACGAAACACGGACCAATATTTTACCAAAGACGGCTGGCGGTAGAAGATTCTTTTGGACGGCCTTGTCCTTTTCGGATAGGTGGGACGCGAGGATATCTCGAGCTTCGATTGCTCAACCCACTGATATTCGGAACACCACGTTGCTGCACTCAGGCTTGCTCGAGCTACGGGATCCCGTTCCAGAGACGAAGGGATCAGAGGAAGACGAGCTGGCGCGCTCATTCATTTGTCTCGCCGGTGCTCCCAGGATACCGTAGAGGACGATGGTATCCAGCGCAACATGAATGTGGCGAGTGGCCCATCCATGTTGGTATGCCCTTGTTGTGTGACCTCCAGAGTCCAAAGAGTGTTGTTAACGGCATGTAATATCGTAGGGGGATATGAGGGAGAAGGAGGGAGGAAGAGTGCCAGGCCCAAAGCCAGTCGGAAAGGGGGCCCGCAACTCGTATCTCAAGGTCTCTCCTAGCCGCCCCTCAAGGCAATCCCATCTGCGGTACACGAAACCGCCAGTGGTTTGGTACAATCCGACTAATCTACCTCCACGCACGAACACCCTCCCTTGGTTCTTTACGCCAGTGAATAACCACCACTCGTGCGTCGAAGAGTACATCCGAAAAGCACCTAAAACAACGCAAATCAGAAACAAGGGCAAAACCCGCCATCGGATCAAAACCCCTTACAAATCTCAAGGCCGTCACGCCGTTCATATCACGAAAGACTCCAACGGCCGTACTGCAACATCAAGGCAAGACAATATCTACCACCGCCCCCGG